TCTACATCACGGATAAGCTGCAAGGCTTGGTCTATCATGAGACGTTCCTTTTGTTCTTGCATCCACACTGCCTCCTTTTTTTGGGGTCTGGAAGTTGTCACTCCCCGGGGTTCCTCTCCCCAGTCTGGCAGTCTCCCCACTCCCTTCGACCATCTAGCCTCCTCCGTCTCCAAACAGAGTCTTTCCAACCATTCTGCAGTCTCCTTTTCTGACTGGAGGGCGGTTGAACTGGCTGTCCCCATCTTCTCTTCTCCATCACTCCCTCGATCTGACATATTTTGGATTTACAGTCCCCTCGGTTTTTGTCCGGGATGACTGGTTGTGACTTCCAGCTTAATGTCAGATATGCTTCCTTCAGTATCCAGGAAAGAAAAACCCAAACTCAAGCATTTTGAAGAATTTAGTACTTTTACTGAATATGAAATGATAGCAACCCAGGTAAAGCTGGAAGTGAGCAAAACGCGCGAAATGCATCTACTAAGCTTCTCCCCCCCTCGTGTTCATAAATCATCAGCCAATCCAAAGGTCTTCCAAAGGTCAGGTGGCAACACGTCTGGCAGCGTCATTCATCAGGAATGTAGGGCAGTTGGTCAGCCGTCCCCTTTTGAAGATCCACTTTCGTTTCTCATGAAGACACATCCTACAAGGAAAAAAAAAACCACCTCCTGCTTCTTCCCACCCTTTGCTCCATAACTAATCCCTCCCCCCGTTTCTTATGGCAGCTGAAGCAGGCAAAGCTGAGGCTGACAGAGGCACTATTTTTTACCGAACAATTTCTGTGCTGCCAAATGTTATTGTACCTCGCTGTTGCGGCGCTGCTTGTTGCTGCTGTGGTCGTCAGGGCTGCTCAATTTAAAGAATCATACCGGCTCAGCTCAGGGTGACTGTGAGGAGCAAGAGGAGAAGCAAGGCGCTGTTGTGGCCCGTACGCAGCCTGTGCGGCTGGTGGCTGATTCGGACAGCAAGGAGGCTGGTGTGGTGCTGCACCAGCAGCCTGTGCAACTGGCACTCGAGTCGGACAATGAGGCTGGAGAAGATATGGTGCCAGAGGCGGGGATTCAGCCAGGGTCTTCAGAACCTCCAGAAGCTCCCTTAAGTGAAGAGGACGAAGAGGAGGAGCCTCTTCTCGATGCACGGGCGCGCAGAGCTGCCAAAAGGCAGGAGTGGCTCCTCAGGAGGAGGTCTCTTCGAGAGTAAGGCTTGGGGCTAATTGGCCACTCCCTTAGCCTATTTAAGGACTGAAGCAATTTTGCAGGGAACAACTTTGTTCACTCTCCTTCGTGCCTTGATCTTAGTTCTCTGCAAATTGCTTCTGGGCTTTCTACCAACCATAGTAAGATTAAGATTATTTATTCTTTGAATTCTTGTAGGCTATTAAGAAAGTTAATTAACAGCCTTTGTTTGAAAAAAAAACCTGATTTAATTTAGTAAACTAAGGTTTGTACAGACTTTGTGTGTGCTGCGTTCTTTAGGGTCCGTAGCTGGGGCAGAACAGGCGCTTGCCCCACAGCGGCCAACTTCGCACGCTCTTGTTTCCGTGCATGTTTTCCTGCTCTCATCCAGCGTGTGCAAGGAGTGTGAAGGGAGGCAGACACCGCGCTGAGAAGCCGAGAGCAAAAGTAGTGGAGGCAAGGGCAACAGGGGTGTGTGTCTGTGTGTCCCTCCGCGGTCCCCTCCCAAGTGACAGCCAGGGCTTCATACACACACACACACACACACACACACACACACACACACACACACACACACATACCTGTTGCCCCTGCTACTTTGCTCTCGGCTTCTCGGTGCTCTTAAAGTGGATCTTGAAGAGCTGGAAGACATTTCCTTAGATCGCCACCAAAGTCATAGCCTGACTTCACAAGCTGGCCACCGGGATGCCGGGAAGGCAGCATGGAAGGCAGGGGAAGGGAGTAGGGGAGGCAGGCTGGGACAGGGGGAGGGCAGGGGCAGTTAGGTAGGCTGCGACTTGCAGGCTTACCTGGCAGGCAGATCAGGGCCACTCAGTTGGAGCGCGGTGCTTCAGGCAGGGAAGCTGCAAGCGAGGACCCACACAGCATAAGTGAGGAGTGACTGGGTGGAGGGGTGCAGTGCGAGCGAGCATTGGGCGGCCGGGGCGAGCAAGCGGGGACCGGTTTGGGGGCGTGGCCAGCCAGCGATTACTAGCGGTTTGGCGAACCAGCCCAAATTACTGCTACCGGTCCTCCCGAACTGGTGCAAACCAGTAGCAACCCACCACTGATCCATAACCTCCATACCAACAAGAATCCATTGTTTCCACACCCCTAACTAATTCATAGTACAAATTTTCTAACAACACAAACAATGTAATCTTCATCTCATTGCCTGTTCTGAAGCCAGTTTGGGATGGATTTAAGTAATCTATTTTTTTTCAAATTCCTTGAAGACATTGTACTATGTGACTCTACACTTAAAAAGAGTACATTGAAAACAATGTTACGCAATAATATGGAGACTTGGAGGGATTTTTAAGTCCCATCATTTAGTTGAAAGAAGACATTCCTGAGGAATTTGTTCGATCGTTTTTTATATGATTATGTTTAAAGAAGAACCACTAAGAACTGTTTCAGTTTTTGAAGGTAGGAAGAGGTTGGGGATCAGGGGTGGGGTCTACTTACCTTTACTACTGGTTCGCAATGGGGCCGCCTGTTTTGATTTGCAAGGTTTTTTGCTGGGAATCAGTGTTTACAGGTACTGTATGAGTGCAGTGGTTGGTATGCAGTATTGCAGGCTAATTATGCTGACTGCCGACTGCCAGCAGTTCGGCAGTTCGATTCTCATGGGTTCAAGGTTGACTCAGCCTTCCATCCTTCCCAGGTCAGTAAAATGAGGACCCAAATTGTTGGGGGCAATGTGCTGATTCTCTCTTAGAGAGGGCTGTAAGCACTGTGAAGCAGTATATAAGTCTAAGTGCTATTGCTACTGGTTGTGACTCATGAGGAGCATAAAATAGGTCAGTCACATGACCAACCTGATTTTATCATTTTTATTGCCATTGTTAAGTGAACCCAATGGTTCCCTATGGACAGTGGTGGGATTCAAGTAATTTAACAACCGGTTCTCTGCCCTAATGATTTCTTCCAACAACCAGTTTGCCAAACTGCTCAGAAAGTTAACAACCAGTTCTCCCGAAGTGGTGCGAACCGGCTGAATCCCACCACTACTGCCTATGGATGTGATTTTGCTGGAAATTGGAAGACAGTTCTGGCAGTTTCATTTGGATGCTACAAATCAGGAATCTGGTAGACTTTTTCCAAATAGCACATTTTATTAAAGGCATAAACTTTTGTGAGCTGCAGCTCACTTCATCAGATGCATAGATTGGCCAGACAAATAAGAGGATTTAAATTGGAACAAACAAGGGGAGGGGGGAGGAAGGGGAGATAGGGAGGGAAAGTTAGGTTAGTTATTTAGATGTAAATTACATGTGAGACAGATTACACCTACCTTATCAATTAGCAATTATCATGTATTAAAAAGCTTAGCGGTTCTTCTGATAATATGATCCTAAATAATTTTAACGCTCTATGGATTGTTGGAAGAAAGATTCATCTGGCTATAGTTCCAAGTGGGGAGAAGGACACTGGAAACATGGAGGCTGATTGGAAAGATGGTTTATTGGTAAACAGGACTACATGGGTTTGAAGTCCTGGGCAGCTGAGCACATGGAGTGGAGAGTGAGGGTTATTTATACTTTCTCTTGGGCCTTGCCCTTGAGCTTCCTATTCCTGTGACAAAAGCATGTATTCTATTGGTTGCTGTAGGGGTCATAGCTAACTTTATAGGCTTTCTGAGTCCCAGGCTTGCTGTGTGATGCAATGAAGGGCAATTCCTATTGTGTCTGAATGGCTTTACCTTGCCTTTGTTCAGAGCTAGACCTTGCTGCAGGCAGTAATGGATTACCAAATCTACATTTCTAAAGCTGCCCCAGCTCAGTATCTGCTTGCCGGGGGGCGTGGAGGGGGAGCTGAGGCTCTGAGTTTCTGTCTCCAAGAGCATGTTTCTCAATTTTTCATCCAGAGAAATAGAATATTCTGCTTTTTAAATATTTCCTAAAATATTTCATTCTTCTAGGAGAGGTGGGTGCTAGCCAGTAGTGGGTTTCAATTTTCTTCCCTACCGGTTCGCTATTGGGAGCGTGCGGCGCTTCTGCGCATGCACAGAGCATTTTTGATGATGTCCGGGCAGGTGGGCGGAGCCTCCCACCGTCACCACTACCGGTTCACCCAAACCGGGGTGAACCGGTAGCAACCCACCCCTGGTGGTAGCTTTCTACTTCCCCCAGGCCTCTCTGCTACTCAAGGAAGCCTCTTTACTGGTACTTATAACAGAAAAACAGAATTGGAAGGGACCTTGGAAATCTTCTAGTCTAACCCACCCCTCGGCAGAACTTCTACACCACTTCAGACAAACAGCTGTCCAATCTCTTCTTAAAACCATCCAATGTTGGAGCATTCACAACTTCTGGAGGCAAGCCAGTGGTGAAATCTAAAATTTGTTACTACTGGTTCTGTGGGCGTGGCTTGGTAGTGGGGGGGGGGTAATGTGATTGGGTGGGCGTGGCCATTTTTTTTTTTTTACTTTTAAAACCATTTTTTCTACAACCTCTTCGGTGAAGAGGTTGTAAAAAAAATGCTTTCAAAAGGCTCTGATCATCCCAGCTGAGTTGCCTGATCGGCAGAGGCTTTTTTTCTTTTAAATGCCTCTGCCGATCAGGCAACTCAGCTTGGATCGTCAAAGGCATTTAAAAGAAAAAAAAGCCTCTGCCGATCAGGCAACTCAGCTGGGATCGTCAGAGGCTTTTAAAAGCATTTTTTCTACAACCTCTGAAGAGGTTGTAGAAAAAATGCTTTTAAAAGCCTCTGACGATCCCAGCTGAGCTGCGTGATCATCAGAGGCTTTTTTTTTTACTTTTAAAAGCATTTTTTCAGCCAAAGAGGTTGTGGAAAAAATGCTTTTAAAAGTAAAAAAAAGCCTCTGATGATTGTGTGGCTCAGCTGGGCATGGCAGGGGGGGAAAGGGGCAGGGATTTTTGCTACCGGTTCTCCGAACCACCCGCCTTCATCGCTACTGGATTGGGCGATCCGATCTGAACTGGGAGCATTTCACCCTTGAGGCAAGCCTTTCCACTGATTGTTCTAACTATCAGGAAATTTTTTCCTTCATTCTATTTAAGGAGGAAATTGCATTGCTAGACCAGATTTTGACATATGCCTGCTACTAAGGATTACACTGCATGGCTCGTTTTTATCATGAGTTGCTCTTTTGTATTTAAACCAGGCCTCAGTACAATAATGTAGCATTTAGGAAGAAAGATACAGGCCAGCAACCCAGCACTGGAGGCCAAGATGGAGAAGATCTGCACGGCCACCGTGTATTTCCCTTTGGTGCTTAGGTAGGTGGGCACAAAGGACACCCAAACGCTGCAGAAGACCAGCATGCTGAAGGTGATCAATTTGGCTTCGTTGAAGGTCCCAGGCAGCTTCCTAGCTAGGAAAGCCACCAAAAAGCAGATGGCAGCCAGGAAGCCCATGTAGCCAAGAGCGCCATAGAACATAGCAAGAGAGCCTTCATTACATTGCAGGATGATCTCTTCAGGTTGCGAGTTCATATCAGAGTCAGGAAAGGGGGGCGAAGAGCCCAGCCAGATCGTACAGAGAACAATTTGGACAATGGAGCAAGAAAGGACAATGGTGTTGCTCAAAGTCTTCCCCAGCCATCTCCTTACCCGGTTCCCTGGCTTTGTGGCCAGGAAAGCCAGCACCACCATGATTGTTTTGGCCAAGACAGAAGAGACAGCAATCGAGAAGATGATGCTAAAGGCTGTTTGTCGGAGAAGGCAGGTGGCTTTGTTTGGCTGGCCAATGAAGAGGAAGGAGGACAAGAAAGAAAGCAGGAGGGAGATGAGGAGGACATAAGAGAGGTCCCGATTGTTGGCTTTGACAATGGGAGTTTCTAGGAATTTAATGAAAATTCCCAACACAAATCCTGTGACTAAGGACAAGAACAATGCAAAGGAAGCAAGGATGATCCCTAAATTTTCATCATAAGATAGATAAGATATAATCTTGGGTACACAGTGATCTTGAGCCTTGTTTGGATGCTGATAGTCCCCACACAGGATGCAAAGATCTGAATCTAAAGAGAAAAAAATATCATTTTCAGTGCTGCATGCTAGCCCGGTAAGATTTGCAATAAAATTTGCTTTGTCACAGCAGATGGCAGCATCTAGGTAACTTTAGTTCAGCTCAGAAAAGCTAACTAGGGTTGGTCCTGATTGTTCTTTGGATAGAAGATCATCAGGCCAGAATGGAAAATTCTGGAAAAAGGCAGATGCAAACTATTTTAGGAATCTACAGTGATACTTTGGTACTCATTGTTAATTGGTTCTGGACGCCATGATGAATATTAAAAACAACAGGTGCCAAAAAAAATACATGATGTCAGTCCTGGAAACCACCTTTTATTTTGGATCTTCAGGGCTGCCACATTTAGTGCTGTGGGAAATTGGGAGGAGGGATTGTATGGAGCAGGGGTGATATATTTATTTATTTATTTATTTATTTAATCTGTATACAGTCATAATAACATTCTTTTCTCTGAGAGTCAAGGACATCCTGCCCTGCACCTGGAGTGGTGTGACTGGGAGGCATCTCCAGTTGGGACGATGTATTTTGGACCATGTGGTGGACATGTGGGTGTTGGGCAGGGACTTGGACTTCTTTTGGGTAGGGAAAACCTGGAAGCTTTCAGATTCGTATTTTCCCCAGATGTGCCAATATGACATCTCTAATAAAATGGAACTTTGAGGAACTTGTAGCCTCGGAGTCTTCTTTTGTTGTGGGTGTTACTTGGAACCCTGACATGACTTACCACGTGATCCTTTGTTTCAGCTGATGAGGACTTCCTGTCTGTCCCTTTTCCTATGTCAGTGACCTTCCCAGCATGGCTGATTTCCTGTCTGCTTGTGGCTGTCCCCCTTTTCCTATCACAATGTGATGAGTACCAAACAAATGAGTACCAAGATAACATTTTTGCATCAAAATGCATCTAGTACCAAATTTGATTTGATTAAAGCAATCAAGAACTGAGGTACCACTGTATTCAGAATACTATAGGTATACAGACTAAAGCCACCAACTTTGATAAGGAAGCTTTCCTTGTTATTTATCTTCACTTTTAACCTGTCAATTGATGCTACGAATTATTTAGTTGTATTCTTGGGGAAAAACACTCCAAGCTGGAGTACAGCATGGCAGAGAGTCAGTACCATCTGACTCAGGGGTGAAATGCTCCCGGTTCGGACCGGATTGCCCGATCTGGTAGCGATGGCGGCTGGTGGTTCGGAGAACCGGTAGCAAAAATCCCTGCGCTCCCCGCATGCCCAGCTGAGCCGCGCGATCATCAGAGGCTGTTTTTTTTTTACTTTTAAAAGTATTTTTTCTACAACCTCTTCAGCTGATAGCCTCTGATGATCGCACGGCTCAGCTGGGATCATCAGAGGCTTCTAAAAGCATTTTTTCTACAACCTCTTCCTCCGAAGAGGTTGTAGAAAAAAAAATGCCTTTAAAAGCCTCTGGTGATCCCAGCTGAGTTGTACTGATTGTCAGAGGCTTCTAAAAGCATTTTTTTCTGCAACCTCTTTGGCCGAAGAGGTTGTAGAAAAAATGCTTTTAAAAGTAAAAAAAAAAAAAAGTTGGCCACGCCCAGCCAGTCACATTACCCCCCCCCCCCGAAGCCATGCCCACAGAACTGGTAGTAACAAATTTTAGATTTCACCCCTGATCTGACTGGAATTGAACTTCTAAAAATGGTGTGCTTTTCTCCTTCACTAATGACATGAAACTATAAGTCCAAAAATCTGATACAGTACAACCTCTGGTCACGATTGCTTCTGACCATGACCAAATCGGATTCTGATCAAAAAATTCACAATTATTATTTTTTTTTGCAGCCAATTTCCCCTTCTGCACCAATTTTTTTGTAAGTGCCAAATCTCCAAAAGTAGGTTTGGATCATGACCAAATCAGTTTACAACCAAAGTTATGGAACGAATTATATTCGTGACCAGAGGTTCTACTGTACTGTCCTAAAAAAACCTCAACTTTTGAATTAAAAAAATGAGAAGTTTCTCCAGCAGCATTTCTCAACCTTGGTAACTTGAAGATGTGTGGACTTCAACTTCCAGAATTTTCTAGCCAGCAATGCTGAGGAATAATGGGAGTTGAAGTCCACGCATCACAAAAGTTACCAAGGTTGAGTAACAGACTTATTTAGAGCCTGCCTAAGGGCATTCTTGCCCTTTCTCTCAAAGGAAGGGTTTGTATATCGGAGCTACCTACCTTCCTGAGTGGAAATGGTCCCTTCTGGGCAGGGGGCACAATCATAGCAGCAGATAGGCTGCCCCTTTCGAGCTGCCTTGGTGTAGCCAGTCCTACAGCTTTCGGTGCACCTGGAATAAGGTGTGATCTAATAACAGAGACAAGGTACATCCAGAAGAAAACATTACAGGGAATCGTGGTCTACGGAATGGAATTCTAGTTGGCAGCTCTTAGCATCTGTCAGCCTTCTCAAAACTGGTGTTTTCCAGATGCAGGACTGTGACTCCTAGCCTTTCCAGTCAGCGTGCCAATAACTGGGTTGGGAAGACCTGAGGTTGATATCTCACAATTCGCGTCAATAGGTGGTACAACAATGGCAACCTTGGATAATCTCCAAAGCTAAATTGGCTCAGACACTTTGTTGGGGGACCACCTGGACTTCTTCTGGAAGAAGGCAATGGCAAAGCCTTCTGTATGACATAGGTAGTCCTTGAGTTACAACCATTTATTTACTGGCCATCCCAAGTTACAATAGCAATAGCACTTAGGCTTATATACCGCTTCACAATGCTTTACAGCCCTCTGTAAGCGGTTTACACAGTCAGCCTATTGCCCCCAACAATCTAAATCCTCATTTTACCAACCTTGGAAGGATGAATGGCTGAGTCAACCTTGGGCCGGTGAGATTCGAACTGCCACACTGCTGGCAGCCAGTAGTCAGCAAAAGTAGCCTGCAGTACTGCATTCTAACCACTGCACCACCACAATGGCATTGAAAAAAGTGACGTACGACCATTTTCACACTTACAACCATTGCAGCATCTTAAGCAACTAAAGGCAAGTCTTTTCACTGATTAATTGTTCTCACTGTTAGGAAATTTCACCTTAGTTTTACATTGCTTCTCTCCTTGAATAGTTTCCATCCATTGCTTCTTGTCTTGCCTTCAGGTGCTTTGGAGAATAGCTTGACTCCCTCCTCTTTGTGGCAGCCTCTGAGATATTGGAACACTGCTATCATGTCTCCCCTACTCTTCCTTTTCATTAAATTAAAGGTAAAGGTAAAGGTTCCCCTCGCACATATGTGCCATGTCAGACTTCGCTGCTATCTCAAAATAAATGAATTTCCAAACTGCCAATCTTTAAGAAAATCTTTTCTTTAATTGAGCACAGCCACCGGATCATGACTCGATGCGGACAAGACTGACCTTTTGCCCCCCAATCCCTCCCTTTCCGATCCCCAAATCTCTGCTTCTCATTGGCTATCTTCCAAGTCATTCTTCAAACTTCTTGTCTCGTCATTTCCCAGGAATGTCCCCCCCTCCTCATTTCCACGACAACCCGACTTCAAAGGGATTTAGCAGGCAAAAGTTCAGAGCTTATCTCTCTCTCTCCTCTGCTCTCTATGCCAGCGTTGAAGCACTGACATGCCAGTCGTTCCTGACTCTAGGGGGCAGTGCTCATCTCTGTTTTAAAGCCGAAGAGCCAGTGCTGTCCGAAGACGTCTCCGTGGTCATGTGGCCAGCATGACTAAATGCCAAAGACGAACGGAACGCTGTTACCTTCCCTCCAAAGGTGGTCCCTATTTTTCTACTTGCATTTTTTTACGTGCTTTCAAATTGCTAGGTTGGCAGAAACTGGGACAAGTAACGGGAGCTCATCCCATTACGCGGCACTAGGGATTCAAACCACTGAACTGCCACCTTTTCAATCGACAAGCTTAGCATCTTAGCCACTGAGCCACCACGTCCCTTTTCATTAAACTAGACATACCCAATTTCAGCAACCATTCTTTATATGTTTTAGCCTCCATTCTCCTAATCATCTTTGTTGCTCTCTACCTTATTAAACTGCAAGGGCCATAAAATAGCTTCAGGATGGATAATGAACTTGAGTCTGGCCTCCGCTGCCTTCTCTATGCTCCCAATTTTCACTCTGCCGTTAGTCCGATTGGGAAATTGCACCCAGTTCATAATGTCAAAGTTGGCCGCCAATTCGCCATCCTTGTCCGTGTAGAGCCCGCTTGAGGAATCATTTGAAAATTGGACCCCTCTTAAGAAATAGTGAACCTGGAAAGGCGGAGAAGATAAGAGAAGAATCACTTCCTATTATGAAACAAAGGGAGAGGATTTTTGGAGATTTTGTGCAAACAAGCAAAGCCCCATCCGCGGGATGCAGACAGCACACAAAACCATGCGCCCTCCGCTCCACAGAAAAACTTCTTCCCATGGAATCAGTCTCTGGTACCCAAAAGGTTGGGGGCCGTTGCCCTAAACCACACACTTAGTATATTGTGTAATGATTTTTAACTGTTGTAATTTAGCCAGCTGTGTGAACATAGTCACATTGTCAAAATGAAATAATGCCATTTTTCATGAAATTATGTAGAGGTAGCCAGTGGCGGGATTCAAATAATTTAACAACTGGTTCTCTGCCCTAATGATTTCTTCCAACAACCAGTTCACCAAACTGCTGAGAAAGTTAACAACTGGTTCTCCCAAAGTGGTGCGAACTGGCTGAATTCCACCACTGGAGATAGCCCAAAATTTAAGACCAATCACTCAGCAACTGAAAGTTATGATGGATTGCCCTGGGGGTACTTACGTCCTGAATTTGAAGATCCATAACTGCCCCCCTCATGGTCACATGACCATGTCAGATTCTTGCCAACTGGCCCACATTTTTAGTCATTTGCAGTTTTCCATGATAACATGTCTGCATTCAATTATGCTTTTGCCGAAAACCAGCATTTCCTTCCGGTTTTTGGCAAAAGTGTCCCATAACAAAAACAATGAACTTGCTTTAAGACTGCAACATTCACTTCACGATTGCTGCAAAAAAGATTGCAGAATCACAGGGGTGAACTGCTTTACGACCAACAGGAATTACAAGTGTAATTGGCAGGTTCCATTATGGTTGTAACTCGAGGACTACCTGTACATTCTAGGAATGATAAGCAAGTCAGAAGAACTCTTTGTAAAGTGAGCTTCTTTGGAGGGAGACAAGTTGAGGAGAATACCTGCCATGGTTGCAACTTGGAAGCATCCTCCAACCTATTTTTACTTGACCCCGGGTTCCTCCTGGATCTGGACATAAGGGCAACCTGTAAACCCTGTACCACAATTTTAAGTGTGTTGTAAATGGTGTATCTGTCTTGGGACAGGACTCTTTCAAGCTCCTGGGGAGGTAAGGTCTCCACATTCCCATTCTCTTTGCATCTTCTCCAGCCTTTCACTGACAGACCCAGCTTTGAGTAGGAACAAGAGAATGCTTCTTTCCAAAACTTTTCCAGGAAGAAGGAACGGGGGTCATAAGAGTCAAATGTTGCCCTTTTGCTTGACTTGTCTAAGGAGAAGGAACCTTGGATGTTCTGGAATAAAAAAGGCACATAAGCCAAGATCAACTTGATGTCCCATACAACTGTCGTGACCCAGACTTTTCCCACTGTTGAATCGAAGTTGCTGTTGAAGATTTGATGAAAGCGGATAATTGGACCAAAAGCAAAGTCTGTGTCTGCATAACATAAAAATACGTTGACTTGCTTCCACAGGGTGGTTGGTACACTTTGGAATGTGCTGGTGTAGGAAATCATTCGGGAATATTGTTTCGAGAAGGCAACACAAATGTCATTCCGGATCAGCATGGAGGTCAATGTCCTAGTGAACCTTTCCCCATTGGTACTATCAGGAGCAAACAGGCCAATCCATGTCCATCCAAAATGCAGGAGCAGTTGGACAATCCCTTCGTACTGGGTTTCTTCTTTTGGAACCATGCGGTAAAAAAAGGGGAATTGAGTTTTGTCACTATGAAGAGAAGGAGCCAGTCCATAACTAACCTAAAGCCCAAAAGAAGGCAAAAAAATAAATTACAATTGGGACAAAGATCCAAATTTTATGAGTTCATATAAAAAAAAAGTATTGTTTAACATTGCTCTCCATTTGTTTTTATTTCAAACTGTAACTTCTATTATAGTGTAGCAATTTAATTAATTAAATAATTATTCCCTTTACTCCCTTTTTATGCAATCCCTTAATTCAGGGTAGAATCAGGGCGACTAGATGGATGCCCTTCAGGATGCCTATGTGGCATTCACAGCAGATATTTTTTCTTTGCGCCCTGATAGAGAAACATCTGTCGCTGCCTAGGATTGAATTCTCAACCTTCTGAGTGGGAGGTGAGTGTCTTCACCACTAGGCCACCATGCTGCTTGTTTATTATTTATTTAATTAGTTTAATTAGTTAAATTTATTTGCCGCCTATCTTGCCGTAGGGCTACTCCAGCGGCTTTCAATAATAAAAAGGAAGAAAAATGAAAAAGCATGTAAATAGAACAGAAGTAAAATAATAGAACACTAAAGTAAACAATGACAAAGGAACACAATGAAAATCACCATCTTTTTATTTATTTATTTATTTATTTATTTGTTTGTTTGTTTGTTTGTTTGTTTGTTTGTTCGAATTTCTATACTGCCCTTCTCCTTTCGAACTCAGGGCGCTGAACAGCCAAAAATAAAAGCATTCATATACAAAAGTTAAAATAAGTTTAAAATAATTAAATAAGATTTGGCCCACAATTTAAAACATCTCCAATTTAAAATTCATATCAAAATTTTAAAAAACCAGCCCTAAAATCAGGACAGCCCGACTAACTGAAAGAAATACGTTTTAAGGGCCCGACGAAAAGTCCGGAGGTCTGGGATCACTCGTATCTCTGGGGGTAGATTGTTCCAGAGGGTAGGTGCTACCACAGAGAAGGCTCTCCCCCTGGGGGTCGCCAGCCGACATTGCCTTTTTGGTCTGGATACGTGGAAGAGGGGAGTCAGCATTGACTCCTGGCCATATCCCTTCAGTTTTTTTCACTGTTTTTTTTTTGGAAATGGTTTCTTCTTCCTAGAAACAAGTGATCAAGACTGGCCAAAGTCATTTAACTGGATTTGTGCCATTTTGTGCCAATTTGTGTGATGTCTTCAACCACTGCACTAAATTGTCTTTCTACCTCCAACTACCCTGTTTCCCCCAAATTAAGACATCCCCTTAATTAATAAGCCCAATTGGGCTGTTGAGCACACAGCAATAAGGCCAAGTGCTTATTTCAGGGTTCAAAAAAATATAAGACAGGGTCTTATTTTCAGGGAAACACGGTAGGGGTGGATAACTGCTTGGAATTCATATTGTTTTGGGAAAAAGAGAGCCTTAGGACAGTCATTTTCTGTCCCACTAGACCTACAGTAGGAATGAAGCAATGGCAAACAACTTCTGAAAAACCTGCCAAGATTCTCTGAGAATCAGACATGATTGTACAGAAGACCAAAAAAAAAAAAAAAATCTTTTGGAAATCATGTTTTAGGGAGGCAAAAAATGAGAGTGAGCATATCAAGGTTTTCTCATTTGATCGTTATATTAAAGGAGGGTGTTGTGTTTATTTCTTTGAATAAATAAATAAATAATAACTTTATTGTCATTGTACATGTATACACAGTATACCCATACAACGAAATTCACTTAACGCCCAAAGACCACGTCCAACACACATAACAATCCCCAAACACACTCCCACCCACCACAATTTTCCACCCCTAAACCACCCAAACATCCACACAACAGACTAAGTAATACTTGAAAAACAGTTCTAAGTTTATTGTGAGCATACACCAGTCTTTTTTTTCCCTCAGCCTGGAGAAATCACAAAATCAAACCTACACAATTGATTGTTGTTCTCTTGTATGGTGTTTTGAATAGTATTTGTCAGGTCTGCCATTGTAAATACTTCAGCCTGCTTCGCTTCACTGGCATCCTGCCATAAAATGCAGGAGGGGTGGAGGAAGGTGAATGTTAGGAGGGAGGGATGACAGGATGACAGGAATCAGAGATGCCAATCTGGAACAGACCAGCGTATCCAAGGACATGAGCATGAGAATAGAATTGAAACGACACCAAAGAGGTGCTAAATCTCAAAGTTGTTACCAAAACACAAAATTGAAATACTATTGGACACTCATGAACTGGTCAAGGGGTGAGGGTCTGGGAAATGGAGAAAAGGCAGGTTTTGAACAGGGATATTCAAATTCAGCTTTCTTATGCTGTAACCACTAGGCTTTAGTAAAAGTATACCTTTCTCTAAAAATGGAATCAAGGGTCTTTCTTTCCTACAGTAAATGCCCAAACTGGGACAAGACTGACAGTATTCCAATTTCTACCTGTGGGATTTTGTAGATGCCCAGAAGAGTGGCAATTTGGTTGGAGATTTCAGAGTCAGCCCGTTCCAAAACAGCAAGCAGAGGATTTGGTTTCCCACAGCTGAAGTTGGGGATACTACTTTTCCCACCAGCGAGCAGATCTATCACAGCGTCAGAAGTTATTCTTTTATCAGAGTAGTTCTCATAGAGATTGTAGCCCAAGGTGATGTTTGGTGAGAACCCAGAATTCTGACTGATCTTCTGAATGGCAAACCAGAAGGACAGCACATGCCAAAATCTCATTTGTGACTCACTGCCAAAAATATAGATATATTAAAATAGGTAGATGTTCAGATTATAAGTCCAGTCCTAGTAAATTTTAGAGCTTTCTCAATGCTCGACAGCAATGTTTCTCAACCTTGAAGAATAGGATCTCTGGAGAAAATCTATCTAAGTGGTTGTTAAGAGTCAAGACTGACTTGACAGCACATCAATCAATCAAATGAATTGATTCCTTAAAGCAACAGTATTTAGTTTTCAGGCTTCCTCAGGAACAGATCTGAAAAAAGATCAGTTTCCCTTAATAAAAGAAATAGTCACAGGGAGTTTTGTAGGGGAAGACTAATTTTTAGCAGCTAAAATAATAATTGCCCAACACTGGAAAATTCTAGCTGGCATAGCAATTGAGATGTGGATTAACAAGGCCTCTTCAATTGCTACATTAGAAAGAAAATACAGACAAAATTAAAATAATGAGACATCAGAGGCAGGAACCACAAATTTATCACAGTTAAGTGATAGTTACCACCCATTTGTGGTAAGATGGGTGGACAATAAATGTTATAAATAAATAAAATAAAAATTTGGGTATTGGGTGAATATCGGGGAGGGGGGAGTCCGCAGGAGGAAAAATATACTTTCCTTAATGAAGGAAGTAAATCTGAGAATTTCCCTCCACTAAAGCTCAAATTTCCCTCCTCCCCAGCAAAGATTTTCTCAGTTACACAAAAGCAGTTTTTCTTGGCGCAACCATTCCACAGGCTCAACATTACCTATAAAGCTTCAACTGAGGAGGTTTGGAGAAAACAAACGGCTCAAAGAAACCAATTTTTGGAGAGACGATGCCGCTTATGATGTAGCTTCCAGGTCTATGGTAATTCACAGCCTTGTGTCCATCTTGGATTAGATTCAATGGGCATTTTGCCCTCAGGGCTCTGTAGGATGCTGTGGGCAGCAGCCAAAGCAAGAAGAAGAGAAAGGAGAGAAGGACCATTGTGGCATAAAATCACATTCTTTCCCACTGTTGTCACTGTCTTGCCTTCACTGCCCCAGATGGGAGCTCACTAATCCTCCACAAGAAGGAAGATATTTCAAGAATAAAGAACATGTTTGGATTGTGGCTTTTTTTTTGGAGTATAAAGTCACAGCAAGGTAGCAATGCTTAGCTGATCTTGATTGATCCTGAAGAAGCCAAATGTTTGACTTAGTCAATGGAACAGGCTGTCATGTGAAGGCAAGTTTGAAGTGCTGCGTTAAAGGAAAACACAGAATTCAATCTCATGGCAGCTTTAACTTAAGTGGCTGAAGTTCGCACCGCTGGGATATAACTCTGTTCCGGCAATATTTCTAATTAATTTCCTCTGTAGCGAAAAAAAGCTTGTCATACATGAATTCTTGATATATTATGAATTAATAAAATGATCAACCAATTCTCATTCTGCCTTCTATTTGCAAAGAATCTTGAAGTTGCTTGGAAATGAAGTAAACATGGAACTAAATTAAATAAGTCCAATTAAATAAATAAATCAGCAGATCAAAATGCTTGTTCCCAGCAATCTCCCTCTGGATTATTTCTACAGAAAATTTACCATAAGGTTCTTGTTCTGTTTGGCTCAGACATGGAAAATATTTTCAATCCCTGATAATTTTGCATTTTGCTCTTATCTCTTTTTCTTTTTGGCAGTGGAAGCTGAAGGCTCTGGGGAAGAAGAACAGCTGAAGACAAAGTAGGGAGCCAAAGGTTTTCCTACTAGAGAAGATGGGAACTTTAAATTGGGTGGACTTGAACTGCTATAATTCCGGTTTATTATTTATCATATGCAGGGGTGAAATCCAGCAGGTTCTGACAGGTTCTGGAGAACCGGTAATGGAAATTTTGAGCAGTTCGGAGAACTGGTAGCGTAAATTTTGAGTAGTTCGGAGAACCGGCAAATACCACCTCTGGCTGGCCCCAGAGTGGGGAAGGAATGGAGATTTTGCAATATCCTTCCCCCTGAAGTAGGGAGGGAATGGAGATTTTGCAGTATCCTTCCCCTGCCATGCCCACCAAGCCACGCCATGCCCACCAAGCCATGCCCACAGAACTGGTAGTAAAAAAAATTTGGATTTCACCACTGATCATATGGCACGTTTGCATCACCTTCTGATATAACACAAGAGATAAAAACACAAAATATAAAATATAAAACATTATAAACTTATGTTTTGCCTTGAAGACAAAACATCAGAAGCCTCGAAGAGATGGCAACCAGTTAATCCTTGCAATATCCTGGCTAGATCAAAGTCAAAGCTGACTTTGTATAAATATACAAAAGGATAAAGGCTATTGCTGAGCACATTGTAAGCCGCCCTGAGTCTCCAGAGAAGGGCGGCATATAAATCAAATTAAAAAAAAAAAAAAACTCTTCACATCATACTAAATAGAATTCCAGTACTGGCAGGGGAATTCTGGGAGTTAAAGCCCACCCATGTTAAAGTTGCCAAGGTTAAGTTGCCAAGACACCCTATTGTACTGGAGACAAAGATTGGACTCCAAAATAATATGCACAATATGGATTTTGTAGTACTAGTCTCAAAGTAGCCTGTAATCTGACCCAGGAAGTTAAAGATAATTTGCTAAAGCTTGAACTGACATGTGAAACTCTGCTGAACATTATACCACGGAGCAAGCAACCCCACCAGCCCAACACACACAACCTTGAAAAGCAGCACAAGGTTTCAGTCCAACTTGAAATGTTAAATGGAGAGCAAGCTTACTTCACACATTCTTACAGATGAACCCCCCCTGCTTTAAACTCTTCTCACAAGTTCCCAGGGATTGGGAGGAAATGTAGGCTTCTGCCAACGTTTTCAAGGCAACTTCAAGATATTCCCTTGTGCTCCAATCTGGTATTTTTAAACGGCTGGAAACCCAAGGCCATTCTGGAAAGGAGGCTAAACAAACAACTTGCAACACAACAGCCCTTGGGTTTTCGGCAAGAATAAGAAAATGGTCCGATCATGATAATTATAGGGGAAAGAAACATCATTCTTTTCCCAACTTGAAGGTCGCATGGTTGGATGCACAGGTGCACCGTTGGAGAAAAACATGTTTGTGTAAATGCTCAAAGACTCATCGGTGCAAAAAAAAAAAAGAGAGAGAGAGAGACAGAACAAGTCATAATACTGTGATGGCGAACCTATGGCATGCATGCCACAGGTGGCACACGGAGCCATATTGGTGGGCACACGAGCGTTGCCTTAGCTCAGCTCCAGCATGCATGTGTGTGCTGGTCAGCTGATTTTCGGGCCTTCTGGGCCCAGCAGAAGTTGGCAAATAGGCTGTTTCCGGTCTCCAGGGGGAGTGGGGGGAAGGCTGTTTTCACCATCCCCAAGCTCCTAGAAAGCCTCTGGAGCCTGGGAAGGGTGAAAAACGGGCCTACTGGGTCAACCGTGCCATCACATGCCAAAAGCAGGAGGAGCATGGGGGGGGGTCACACATGCATGCAAGGGGTGGGAGGGCGCATGGAATTATGGGTGTGGGCCCGCATGTGCGCGACCACCCCGCACTCCCCCTGCTTTTGGCACGCGATGGCAAAAAGGTTAGCCATCACTGTCATCATACTTCAAACATGCATAGGGATATGCACACACATTTTGTTCACCTCCCTATGAAAAAGGAATAGAATAGAATAGAATAACAGAGTTGGAAGGGACCTTGGAGGTCTTCTAGCCCAACCCCCTGCTTAGGCAGGAAACCCTACACTACTTCAGACAAATGGTTATCCAACCTCTTCTTTAAAACTTCCAGTGCTGGAGCATTCACAATTTCTGGAGGCAAGTTGTTCCACTGATTAATTGTTCTAACGGTCAGGAAATTTCTCCTTAGTTCTAAATGGCTTCTCTCCTTGATTAGTTTCCATCCATTGCTTCTAGTCCTACCCTCAGGTGCTTTGGAGATCTTCTTCTTTGTGGCAACCCCTGAGATATTGAAATACTGCTATCATGTCTCCCCTAGTCCTTCTTTTCATTAAACTAGACATACCCAGTTCCTGCAAAGGAGAACCCCAAGTCCCATGTTACATTCCTTTTTATAGTTAACACAACCAAGAAAATGCAAGAGGGAAGTTGATTGGACAGGATAAAAGTAAGCTCTCCTTTGCATAGAAAATCAGTTACACGTAGTCAAATATGTTACCTATTTGCATCCCATCATATCACACATGTTCATTAAAATGAGATCTGACGTCAGACGGGGCGTAAATTGTAACGGGGGGGGGAAGGTTGTTTGGAGTTCACAGAAGAGATAAACCAGACCCCCAATTTGTACGAACAACCTTTTTTCTTATCTGACTGGAGCTAGTCTCCAGCCTCTTTATCAGTTTAGGAATGTTAAAAGCTAATAAACCTGAAAGGTCATTTTAAAAGAGAGAAAATAAATAAAATTAAACTATGTTAGTTAGCAAGTTACAAAATTGATGTCATGTGCCCCTCATCCCCCAAGTGAGGCCTGAAGCCCCCCCCATTTGAGGGGACACTGGGACCCCCCTGCCCCCCCCCAAAGAAGCCAGAATGAAGCTCCTGAGGAAAAAAAAACACACAGTTCCTGAAAGGAATCAAGTATGTGGGTGGGAAAAACAGTTGACAGGAGGAACATTCTGGAACAAGTTACCTCAGAAAGTGCTCAACAGCCAAGAAGCGAGGTTGTTCTTCTGAGAGAGGGGAAATGGCGGCCTTCAAAAAGGAGCAGAAGGAAAGAGGAGAGATGGCAACTAAATGAAGCTAATTTAATCAAGAAATAATTTTTTTTAAAAAGGAATATCCCTCTTGGGAATGCTTCATATAATTCTTAGGCTCTTCGTAGTATGTGAAGTGGACAAAGAGGAAGCTAAACTAGCCAGGCACAAAGACCAGCCTGAATGCCCTGGATCTTAAAAAAGAGCTGAAGAGGAGAAGTCCTGAGGAGAGATGGACATTCAAAGCAACCCAAAAGGGCAGAAATGTCAATGGGATGCCATCCAACAGCTGAAGATGATTGTTAATTGCTATCCTGAGACTTAATCTCTCTCTCTCTATATATATATTTATATATATAAAATTAATTTCTACCAGAGAGACTGACTGGTTCATAAGGCAGCCATCTCTAAATCCTTTTCTCTCTCTCCCTTTTGAACCTTAATTTCTCCAACCTGACTCTTATTATTTTTTTTTTTTACTCATAGTAAAGTTTCCTCAGAGTGCTCTACCAAAACCATTGGCCTTAACTATCTATATAAGGATTTTGTTGTCATCAGTCAAGCAAACGCTTTCAAATAATTTCGGGCTACCTTCGCTGCCAGCATTATATGTGGCTACTTTATTTCATATGTCCTGCTCCTTTTGAAACCATCTTTCTCTTCTGTGTGGTTGAATTTTGCTGTTTGGGTCATACGTGCCATTTTTGCTCTGCTACAGTGTTTTATTTTTAAACAAACACCCCCCCTTTTTCTCATAGGACATTTTAGCTCTGCTTAGTGCTTCAATAGGGACACTTGCAAACAGGGCAGCGGCAGGCTAGAATTGAAAGAAAATTCCTGATGGGACCAAAAAGCAGCTCCGTCACCACCAGGAAACTGTTTTTTGCCCCATGTTGCCTGACCCAAAACTCTCCATTTCTGGAGACAAGATGACCAGGAACTACTCCAGGATCACTAGGACCATTATCTGAGCTTTTGTGCTCCTTTCTGGCTCCTTTCTGATGGTAAAACTAGTGGATTTTTTTTTTTACATGCATCCCTGTGAATGCAAATACACTTGGGTTCCCCTTCCTCCTGAGGAAAGATCCGGATGGGGAATTAGAGCTCTGGGACTGAAAATGGAGGAAACCAAGGTCTCTTCTATTGTTACAACCTCCACTTAAACCGGGCAAGGTGGTTATGGAAACAGAACCCTCCTGAGGGGATCCTTCCAGGATCTGAGTCTCTCACTTGCTGCCTTTGCTCCTCTATCTGGCTCAGTAGGAAACTTCAGCCAGGGCCACCACTTGGTCTCTGCTCAGTTCGCCATCTTTGTGTTGTCCCCAGTTCGGGTCTGAGCCTGGTGCCGAAGCCAATGATGGACGCCAGACACAAGGTGCAGGTTTTCTGATTGCTTTTTATTGGAGTACTCCAAGGAAAAGGGCTCCTGGCCAAAATGCCAAGAACCAAGAACAAAAGATTAAGTAAGCTTTATACATTTTCACTAAAAGAGAAGGCGGGACAAGGCGAGATAATAAGAAATATCATCTAATAAATATTTTAGTAATAATTCTACAATTTGTTCTATTGGTCTCTAGCTGTCCCTATTCCTAAGCCTTGGCTAATGAATGCCCCAGGAGTTATCTAATACACATTTTATTGGCTGCAGGCCATCTCTATTCCTCATTTTTAGCTGAGGCCTGCAAGTTGTCAAACTCATGTTACTTTTATCAGCTTTCTAACTACCCAGAATTATTACAAGATTTACACATGCATATTTCCTGTAGATAAGCATTCTTTGTTCTTGCCAAACACTCCACAATTACAGGCTTCCTGGTTTACTTTCAAGTGTATGTCATGACCTGGCTTTATTTTAGCATACAGCCCATCATTTGGGAGCTGGACAGTCAGGAAGAGCTCCAAGATCACCAGGTCCACCTGAGCTTTGATGCTCCTTTTGGTCTTCAACCACTGATGGCAAAGCTCCTGATAGTCAGAACAGCAACTGCTTTGCCTGCTCCCACTCCTGCTGGTCTTTACGGTCCCTTTTCACACTGAATGGCATTGTACTTTGAAAAAGTATAAATTATTTTTCTCGGCAATGCAGCGATCATCCATAAATGGACAATTTCATGAAGATGTATATCTACTGAGTTAGGTTGTTGAAAAAGAAACCAATTTTCCGGCAATTGTAATCTGAAGTAGAGACACAACCATCTTGTTTGATAACCTTTTCCTTTTTGGATAATTTAATAAAATCCTTTTTGGTGCGGTATGAGAAAAATCTAGTTAACTGAATCTAAATATGGAGTCGGCTGAATAGAATCAAGACATACCATGCCAGAACTGAGGCAAAGTTTTAAGTGTGGAAGGGCAGAGAGCTTGTAGGACATCACAACAAACAATATCACATATAGTACAAGAATGTTCCCTTAGGAAATTTCAAGGCATCTGGGAAGATCTCATTGCAGCCACACCAGAAGCACTTGCATTGTTAGCTTTCTTAGATATCGAATTATAATATCCATCCTATTGCAATTCTATGGCACCATGTTATAGTGACTTTATAATGGTTTTATCTTAATATTTTGTCTCATATATTGTATCAGTTTATATGTGTGTGTGTGTGTGTGTGCATTTGGTGATGTTTTATTTAAATTTATTTTTTTGTTTGTATGAGGTTTTTTTTTATTAGTATTGTATGTCAGTGATTGCATGACCTCTGTAGGTACCATACACCAGAGGCCCCCAATTTTTTGGGCACCATGGACTGGTTCTGTGGAGAGAGGTTTTTCTGTGGACAGGAGGGGGCATGGTTTCATGTGTTGCCTGGAGTTTTGCTTGTTTGTGTGGACTGGTTACTGGCATGTGGATCAGTGCCAGTCCATGGACCGGGGGTTGGGGACCCCTGCCATACGCTAAATAAAAAAAAAAACCCTGAATGTGATTACCTCTTCAGTTAGGATCCAACTTCCTTCTCTTTCCCCCGGTAAGTAAGACAACATCCTACCTGTCAATGACTACTTCAGCTTCAACCGCAATAATACACGGGCAAACAATAGATACAAATTCAAGGTAAACCGCTCCAAACTCGATTGCAGAAAATACGACTTCAGCAACGGAGTGGTCAATGCCTGGAATGCACTACCTGACTGTTGTTACATCCTCAAACCTCCAAAATTTTAACCTTAAACTGTATATCATCGACTTCACCCCATTCCTAAGAGGTCTGTAGGGGTGTGCGTAAGTGCACCAGCGTGCCTACCGTCCCTGTCCTACTGTCCCCATTTATTCGTACTCATTTCCTGTGTTCATGTCCATGTTTATACTTATATCCGTTTTCTCATACATATAAATAAATGTCACCAGCTTGCAGGCTGGTGTTTCCTCTGGAGAGCTTGGGACGAGGCTGATCATTCCCAGTTCTTTGGGCTCTGCCTCAGAGAAGGGCTGTTCTTCATAAAAACAGAATGCCAGACCCAGCCTCTTTCCACAAAAGCCAAAGAATGGCCTTCTACAGGTGAAGTCAAGGTTGAGCTGAACTGGTCAGTTACTACCAGATCAGGATTCCCCTTCCTTCCCATTTCCTTGCTTTGGGAGTGATCAGCCCCTTCCCAGCTTCCCCAGGAAATCCATTTGGAAGGATTTTTTTTTTTTTAATTTGATTTATATGCCGCCCTTCTCCGGAGACTCAGGGCGGCTTACAATGCGTTAAGCAATAGCCTTCATCCTTTTGTATATTTATACAAAGTCAGCTTATTGCCCCCACAAACTGGGTCCTCATTTCACCTACCTTAGAAAGGATGGAAGGCTGAGTCAACCTTGAGCCTTGGAGAGATTCGAACCAGCAGTAAATTGCAGGCAGCTGTGTTAATAACAGGGTGCGTAGACCACTGTACCATCAAGGCTCTTAAATTTGGGGTTTTGATTTCACTATTGTTGCTCAAAGAATAAAAATGGGATGCAAACAAATGAATAAATAAAAGCAGTTGACAGAAGATGCAGACAGGAAACGAAAGAAACAAGGCTGGATCCTCAGCTCTGGGTCTGACACTTTCACTGCTATCTTTTTGCAGTGAAAAGATACAGGTAATAGGAAGCCTGTCATCCCCCAGGTTAACCAATTATAATGTGACCGAGTCATTTTTTGCTGTCCATTTCATGTGAATCTAAACAGAAGGTTCAATTGAATAGCTTTGCCTTAGCAGGTTATGTTAATACAACCTTTTCTGAGCTTTCAGGAGGAAAGGGCTGTCTGTCACTTGTCCCAAAGGTGCTTTTTTCCAGAGGCAAATGATCTTTCTGGTTTTTCTTTGAAGACGTTGCACTTCCCATCCAAGCTTTTTCAGCTCTTGACTGGATGGTGGGGAATGGAAAGATTTATACTCCTTGCAGACAGCTGGTCATTTGCATTCTTTAGAGTCATTGAGGCCACCTGGAGGTTTATCTGTGTCATCAGGTTCACCTGAATGGTGCAAAGGAGTGTGGAGCCTTCTTGAAGGACTGTTGTAGACTGAAGATAGATGATGTTGTATCCCTCCCACTCTGTTGAGAGGGCTATTCAATTTTGATATAGATAGCCTCTTTGACCCCTTTCAAACCAGCAGTCCTCTCTGTCCAAAATGTGGACTTTGCTGTCTTCAAAAGAGTGGCCTTTGTCTTTTAAATGAGAAATGGTTATTCAAGCTATTTTAGTTATTCCCCTGTTTTTATTGTTCATATTGTTTCCCACCTTTTTTACTACATTGTTTTAAATACATATTTGTATCAAAAAATTTCCTTGAAATCATGGTAATATACAAACAATGATACAACATTTATTTTTAAATGGAAGTACTTGCAAGTGAAGAGATCATTGGCAATGAAGATAAATACAAGAAAATGCTCAATACACAGGAAATAACAAGAATCTCCAATAGACAACTTTACACATGAGAAAACATCAGGCTGAAGGGGGATGTCAAATCCATTTCTTCCATCCTCCACCTGACTCCCCAAGCTAAAACCTATTAAAAAAATTGTTACAGGAATTGGCCATGGCTACTTTAGGGAAGGACAGGGGAGACATGATAGCAGTGTTCCGATATTTGAGAAGCTGTCACAGAGAGGACGACAACCTATTTTCCAAAGCACCCGAAGGCCAGACAAGGAACAATGGACGGAAACTGATCAAGGAGAGATTTAATTTAGAAATTAGGAGAAATTTTCTGACAATGAGAACAATCAACCAATGCCTTCAGAAGTTGTGGGTGCTTCAGCACTGGAGGCTTTCAAGAAGAGATTGGACTGCCATCTGTCAGAAATGGTGTAGGGTCTCCTGCTTGGGCGGAAGGTTGGACTAGATGACCTACGAGGTTCCTTCCAATTCTGTTATTCTAAATCTTAAAGAGTATTTGACAGTTTCACCATTATCATCGTTGACATTTTTGTAAAATTCAATTATTTATTCAGCACTATGGGACAATCAAGGACAAATCTTTTCTTTCTTCTAAAGGGCATCTCATCAAATGCTTCAACAGGGATATTGTGTCCCTGTTAGTTGCCTTTTTGTAAAACAATGCTAAGCATGCTTCAGTCTGTTTTCATGGCACTTAACTTGAGCTCTCTGATGAACCCCACTGTGCCCCAATCTAATTCTAGTCTGAATCTCTTAAATGGGGGAAATACTCACAAGGTATTCTCACAATGGGGAGATGGATTCATATTTCCTTGGTCAAAACAAATGAGGCAAAATAAAAATTCAGTTAATTTCCCCCCTTTTGGCCAAATCCACAGAACATTTGTATACTGATGGCATGTTTTCTTTTATAAGTCTTTTTAAAATATCCCTTGCCAACCTTTCATTTCATTTCCTATCACCCATCTCCTCCCACGTATGACTGTAACCTTGTTGCTGGTATCCTTACGATTTATATTGACTGTTTCCTAATATGATTTGATTGCTTATTTGTTCCCTATGACTATCATTAAGTGTTGTACCTTATGATTCTTGACGAATGTATCTTTTCTTTTATGTACACTGAGAGCGTATGCACCAAGACAAATTCCTTGTGCGTCCAATCACACTTGGCCAATAAAAAATTCTATTCTATTCTATTTTCAACTTAAACATTTTGAGTGACTTTTGCCAATCACTCACTCTCAGTGTGGCCCATGCCACTCCACAGGATTTTGGGGAAAATAGGAGATATTTGGGTATCACGAATGAAGGTAAAGATTTGGGTATATTTGCCACCTCGAGGTCTCCAAATGTAAAAAAAAAAAAAGTGAGATAAAAATATAATGCCAAATCCAGTCTAAACTAGATGACTGTGCGACAAACCATAAGAATATGAAGACCAGCACAAACTAAAGAACTGGTGGCTATGATTTCACATTCTGGTATATATAATAATAATAAATAGCAATAATTCCTCCTTCTTCAGGCATTCCTCTTTGGAGTCCTTTCAATCTTTTCTCTTCTTTCACATTTTCCTTATCAGAGAAAATGTTTTGGATGTCTATTTAGGATTTCTTTTGTTTCAACAAATGACAGCAATTACCAACTGAGGCCTATTTTATGAAATAAAATAGTAAGCTAGTATGCCTAACTTGGGCCCACCTTGAACATTGACACTGCAGGTTGGAAGAAAAAAAATAATTACAAAATTTCATAATCGCTGGTTGGTAATAACTCTGAGAAGAGACAAATGGAGGAAGTTAAAAGAAGTGAAGCTCAGATCCAGGATTTTAATCAGAGATCTCTTCAGGGGATCAAAATGACATCCACATATCATGATCCAAACCCTTCATCTCTTGCATGTATCACATAAAAAAAATGGCTTCACAAGCAGGATTAACCAATTGGAAATATTATTTGGCAATAATTATAATTTCTTTGCGAGTAACAAAATGAAGTTGTTCTTTGTCAGGGCCACTTTACAGACTCAGCTGTCACTACCTTTCCACATTCTGCTCATTTAGTTTCTCTCCTGAATAGAAAGTCTCTTAAGATGTAAGATGATAGGTCTTATTAAAGCAGTTTCTTTGACCCATACCTAAGTATAATATTTATACTAAATGGATACGGTATTTCCACACATCACACATTTAAGTCCATGTAGCTCAACCAAACATACACATTTATGTGTTTTCTTTTGTATTGTTTTTTTAAGGGGAAAAAAAGGCCGGTCCTGGTAATTCCATTTACTCCAGGCATTCTTCCCACAATACAATCTCTTATAAGAAATAAGTGCAACACTCTTTTAAATTGATTTCCGCATTTCAGGTGTTTTTATGGTTCTGCCATGTGGATTCCTTTAAGTCTGATAAGGCTACTGAACTTTACAGTCAACATATTTCTATTTTTCCCTTTATAAGAAGAAAATACTTGTGTGATGAAGGCTCCCAAGTTATGGTTTCTCTCTTGCATGGATTCTTTTATGTTTCGTAAGGTGACTATTTCGACTAAAACTCTTTCCACAATCTGTGCACTTACAGGGTTTCTCTCCTGTGTGGATTTTTTTATGTCTCGTGAGGTGGCTTTTGTGACTGAAGCTCTTTCCACATTCTGTGCATTCGTATGGTTTCTCTCCCGTGTGAATTATTTTATGTATGATAAGGTTACTGTTCTGACGGAAGTTCTTGCCGCACTCTGTACATTTGTACGGTTTTTCTCCTGTGTGGATCCTTTTATGGCAAATAAAGACGCTGTTCTGACGGAAGCTCTTCCCACACTCCATACATTTATACGGTTTCTCCCCAGTGTGGATTCTTATATGCATCATAAGGTTTGCACTTGCACTGAACTTCTTTCCACACTTCAAGCAGGTATATGGTTTCTCTCCAGTATGGATTCTTTGATGGTACCTAAGGCCATTGTTATATGAAAAGCTCTTTCCACACTCTGTGCATTTGTACGGTTTCTCTCCTGTATGCATCCTTTTATGATAAGCAAGATGACTGCTCCTATTGAATCGCTTTCCGCATTCCAGGCATTTATATGGTTTCTCTCCTGTGTGGATCCTTTTATGGCAAATAAAATAACTGCTGCAATTGAAACTCTTTCCACATTCCAAACACTTGTAAGGTTTTTCCCCTGTGTGCATTCTTTTATGATATGTAAGATGTAAGGCTGCAGTAAAGCTTTTTCCACACTCCAGGCACTGATAGGGTTTCTCCCCTGTGTGAATCCTTTTATGTTTGACAAGGTGACTGTTCTGACTGAAACTCTTTCCACACTCCAAGCACTTGTATGGTTTTTCTCCTGTGTGGATCTTTTTGTGGCGAACAAAGTAACGGTTGCAATTGAAGCTCTTTCCACATTCCAAACACTTAAATGATTTCTCTCCCGTGTGCATTTTTCTATGATATGTAAGATCCGAGCGGACACTGAATCTCTTTCCACAGTCCAGGCATTGATACGGTTTTTCCCCTGTATGAATTCTTTTATGTTTCAAAAGGCTACTATTCTGACTGAAGTTCTTTCCACACTCTGTGCATTTGTATGGTTTTTCTCCAGTGTGGATCCTTTTATGGCAAACAAAGACACTGTTTTGACGGAAGCTCTTTCCGCATTCCGTACATATATATGGTTTCTCTCCCGTGTGGCTTCTTACATGCATCACAAGGCTTGAACTTTCACTGAACTTCCTTCCACACTTCAGGCACGTATACGGTTTCTCCCCAGTGTGGGTTCTTTTATGTCTTGTTAGGTGACCGCTCTGATTGAATCGTCTTCCACATACCAGGCATATATATGGTTTCTCCCCTGTATGGATCCTTTCGTGTATGATTAGTTTACATCTCTGTGTGAAGGTCTTTCCACAGACCAGGCACACATATGGTTTTTCCCCTGTATGGATTCTTTCGTGTATGGTAAGTTTGCATCTCTGTGCGAAGGCCTTTCCGCATTGCAAACATTTATATGGTTTCTCCTTTGGTGGAGTTTCTGCAGGTAAAATAAGCACCTGTTTCTTATTGGAGCCCTCTTTGTACCCACACAGTTTTTCATTATTATCGGAAATACGTTGACTGTTCAAATTGAAACTTTCTTCACAATTTAGAGATGCATATGGTGTGTCCTTGAGATACGATTGGTAATGTAAATTAATGGAAGAGGTATAATTGACACTCTTCCCATCCTCTTGATGTGCGTATTGTTCTTCAGTCTGGTATTTACGGAAATCAAATTTCTTGTCGCCTCTCTCACCACATCCACTATATTTTCCTTTATCTTCTTGTTGTTGAACTAGCTGGGTTGGGAAGTCACGGACTGCATTATATTCAAAAGAAGGCAAACTCTTCCCTCCCTTCATTACGTAGGTTTTCTTACTCCTTTCTGATGCCCCTTGATATCCAAGCAGGCCTTCTTCAGACTTGATTATTTGTAATAAAGCTTCCCTCGTCTCCTTATAATTATTTTGTTTCTGGCTATAACCTTTGGGAAAAAAGGAAAGAAAAACTTAAGTCACTACATTCACAAAAGAAAAAAAAAAGCTGCATCTGTTATTTCTGACTATCTAAGATTTTACTGAGTTCCTCTTCGTATGCCTGGAAGGGACCAGATTTCTATTTTATTTTTAGCAGTAGCAACTACTCCCTTTTAATTTTATCAGGTTTTTCTGTTTTTTTTCCTTATGAAAAAAAAATCTAATCTTTATCCAAAGACTGAATGATTAAGAGCAAGGGGCGATTAAGAATTAAATGAAGGAATTGTGCGCCTCTTCAATTGATGCCTTGACGTTTATTATAGCAAATGCAGTTTTGGAAATGCCCTATGCTGTACAGATTGTCCTCCAAATTAAGTTCTTCCAAAGCAAGGGACACTTTCAAGGGGATTGTAGAATTACCTCGGCTTCAGCAGCCCCCAACCTATCCCCCTCCCATCTCTGTCCTTTTGATAAACCTGAATAGCATGGCCAAGATGAAGACAATCCTGTATTCCACTTCTAGCGGATCTTCCTTCCTGTTGTCAACTGGAAGGAAGGTCCAGCTGAACATAATCTGTATGATTATGTTCTTCTTCCTTGGCATCTGTAATAGCCTCCCTTTTCTGGGATTCCTGTCATTGGCTGGCTTCAAGCCACACAGCCGATGGGCTCTACCACTGCTGGGCTTATCCCCACCCCTCACCACCAGCTCTTCCTCATATGTTTATGGAGATTCTAAGTCATGCAGTCATCCAGGTCATGATTGTCCCAAAGTTGCTTTTTCAACAGGCAACTGGACTTTTGTTTTTTCTTTGAAGACGTTTTGCTTCTCATCCAAGAAACTTCTTCAACTCTGACGGGATGGTGAGGAATGGAAGGATTTATATTCCTTGTAGACAGCTGGTCATTTGCATTCTTTTGGAGAGCTGATGAGGCCACCTGGAAGTTTATCTGTGTCCTCAGGGTCATCTGAGTAGTGCAAATAAGTGTGGAACCTTCTTGGAACTGTTGAAAGGACCGTGTTGTAGTTGTGATTTAGCTCCTTTCAGTCCTTTCAGCTCCAAGAAGGCTCCACACCCATTTGCACTACTCAGCTGACTCTGATGAATGCAAATGACCAGCTGTCTGTAAGAAATATAAATCCTTCTATTCCCCACCATACAGACAAAGCTGAAGAAGCTTCTTGGATGAGAAGTGAAACGTCTTTAAAAACAAACAAACCAGTTGCCTCTTGAAAAAGCACCTTTGGGACCTCCTCCTCATAGTTTGCCCCTCCATGGTAGCTCTGCGTAACTCCTGGCAGTAGCAGGCTGCGACAGATGAAACCTGGCACCCAGGAAGGTGGACAACAAGGAGGCAGTGGCATGCCCTGCAGCAACAGAGCCCCTGCACTGTGGGGGCTTTAATCCAGCTGGCGGTAGCAAGCCCAACAGACAGGAGACAATATGGACACCAAGAAAACTGCAACAGCATCGAGTAGGAGGACCAGGAGAAGAATCCTGAATTCTCCGGGATTGACTGGAGAAGCTATAAACTAATGAAAGGAAACTTTAATTGTGTGAGAATGTTGAGAAGATGCTAAACCGCCAATAAGTATGGTATCACGGCAGGAATGTTAAAGGATGAATTTGCTTATGAAGCAGTTGTGTGCCATTTGCCTAGTCCAGCACTAAATTTAAATCTATGTAGCTTCTTGAAATCTTCCCAGGTTTCCAAACACTATCTTTTTAAAAAGCTGCCGATAGACCAATATTGGACTGAAGTAAAAGGTAAAAAGTAAAGGTTCCCAAGCAAATATGTGCTAGTCATTCCCAACTCTAGGGGGCGGTGCTCATCTCCGTTTCAAAGCTGAAGAGCCAGCGCTGTCCGAAGATGTCTCCGTGGTCATGTGGCAGGCATGTCTAAATGCCAAACGCACACAGAACGCTGTTACCTTCCCACCAAAGGTGGTCCCTATTTTTCTACTTGCATTTTTACATGCTTTCGAATTGCTAGGTTGGCAGAAGCTGGGAGAAGTAACGGGAACTCACCCCATTACACGACACTACGGATTCGAACCGCTGAACTGCCGAACTTTTGATCGACAAGCTCAGCGTCTTAGCCAGTGAGCCACTGCGTCCCACAGCTGGACTGAAGTACTCAGGGGAATAATGCCACTTGGTGTCAGCCCTACAGGGAGTTTACACATTATTTATTCAGAGCCAGAGGAAGGCTTTTTGACCAAACAGCTAGTATGAGAACTGTCATTGGATATTAGGTAACCTAGGAAACTGGGTGGTGATGAGGGACAGAAGTCAGAGAGACACAGGTCACTTTCTTCCTGTGCTTATTCTAGTCAGGTGCTCTTCTCTTTGCACTTACAACAAAAGACTTTCCACAATTAACTGAGCCCAGAGCAAAACAGGCCCTTACCCAGAGCTGCCACATTCCTGAAATTCTCCAGCATGACTTCCTCGTGTAAGGCTCTCTGTCTGGGATCCAGCAGCGCCCACTCTTCCTCCGTGAAATACACAGCCACCTCCTCAAAGGACACTGAACCCTGCAATTCAAAGGATACGTTCCTCAACATTAATTCCAGGAAGTTCTGTCCCAGATTTCATATATCTTAAATAGCAAAAAGTTTTGCAAAAGAGAAAATGCTTTTTTTTTTACCAAATCAGTTCTTATAGGTGCTTCTTGAAAGATTAACTACCACTCTGAAATATTCACATGCGCACAAATATGGAACTGGGACCTCTAGGTTGGAGTTTAACCATGCAGCCATGTTTGAGAGCCTTTCTTAGTTGAACATGGGAATCCTAGAGATACACAGGGAGGGAGAGGCACTATGACCCATTTGCAGGGTTGGAATTTCTTCCTGGCGCAAATCATCTTCAGAACTACGTGAATTTGTCTGACATGCTTCGCTTGGAAACCTTTCGTTTCTTTTTTTCACCCCAAAGATATTATTTTTTTTCAGTAACGATCATCTTGCATAAATGCAAACCTGATATAAACATCTTTGAATCCGATGTGTTTTTGTAACTTATTTATTGTTAATCAACCCTTAGTGTTGTAATTGAATTGCTTTGTTTATTAACATTTTATTTATTTATTTGTTTCAATTTCTATACCGCCCTTCTCCAAATAGGACTCAGGGCGGTGAACAGCCAAAGTAAAAAACAGGACATACAAAATTTAAAAACAATTTAAAATAATTAGATATTTTGGCCGTAAATTAAAACAACCCAATTTAAAATCACTTTAAAATTTAACTCAAGCCAGCCCAGCTACTTGAAATAAATAGGTTTTCAGGGCCCAACGAAAAATCCGGAGGTCTGTTATTGTACGTATCTCTGGGGGGAGGTTGTTCCAGAGGGTGGGCGCCGCCACAGAGAAGGCTCTCCCCCTGGGGGTCGCCAGCCAACATTGTCTGGCGGACGGCACCCTGAGGAGGCCCACTCTGTGCGAGCGTACTGGCCAGTGGTAGGCTATTGGTGGCAGAAGGCGGTCTCGTAGGTATGTTGTAAGTAGTCCTACTAATGGTTTAATAAAAGTAAATAAATTAAAACAAGTCTTTGCTTTCACGACACGCTAGCTGGTCCTTCTCCTTGCATCTGCCTTAGGCAGCAAAGGATTTATTTAAACCAATGCAGGAACAGGACATTTAAATACTCAGCTATTTACATGAATAAATAATATTGATTTGTGGAGTTGTGCTTAAATAACCATTACAAAGTGAGACTGAGCCAACGCCTGATCTCAACACGTAATCTCCTTAACAAACTCCGCATTGTCCCATGATCAAACCAGACATCCCCATTCTCTCCCAGAGATTTCTGTGGTTTGATGAAGCTCTCCTACCTGCGCTATGGCTGCCTCACCACACAGAGGAGATGTTTCAGCAACGTCCATCAACAGCCTTCTGCTCCCTGCGATTGAGGTAAAAGGGAAGCATATAAACTAACCCCGGCCCAAAACCTTTGTGTAAAAACAGCACACAAACGAAAGCACTTCAAAGCTTCAATGCCCTCAAGAACCAACCTTCACTTACGTGGCAACGTGACCCGAATTGGATCCTCCTCAGGGATCCTTCCCGACAGCTGCTCCATCGAGGGACCAGAAAGACCTTCTCTTCCTTTAGGTGGCACCAAAACTGCCTTCGTGAAGGGCTCCTGCATCTGAAATAACAGCCAAAATCACAGGAAGACAAAAGTTAAAACAACTGAATGTTGGAACAAGGGAACTATTTTATGCCTTCAAAGATGGACGATTTGATATCCATAGGTAAAGACGCAAATCCTCCCTCCTGTGGAATAATCTGGATGGGGAAACCCCTCTCTGGAGCTGAAACGGAGGGAAACCAAAGTCTCTTCTATTGCTACAAAGTGACATTTGTGGTGGACAAGTCAATCAAAGGAAACTATATCCCAAGGGGATTCTCCCAGGATCGAGTCTCTCACCTGCTGCCTCTGCTCCTCGGCCTGGCCGAGCAGGAAGCCTTCAGCCAGGGCCACCACCTGGGAGCAGCTCTCTGTCCCGCACTCCCTCAGCCAGCCCGCCATTTCCGGGGGGCAGCACTGCCAGGAACTGCTCCAGGATCACCCAGTCCACCACCTGAGCTCTGCTGCTCTTCTCAGGTTTCAGCCATTGATGGCAAAGCTGCTGCAGGCGGCTGCAAACTTCTCGGGGTCCCGCGGACTCCAGCTAGCAAAAGTGGCGGAAGCGCTTGACGTCTGAGTCGAGGGGCTCTTCGGGGACGGTCTCCCACCTGACTCCAGCCTAGGCCTTCCTGCCTTCCTCGGGCTCAGCTGCAGAAAGGCCTGGAGCTCCTCTCCATTCTCCACCTAACTTTGGCATGTCCATCTCGACAGCTTCCTCACACGGCGTCTATTCAGCTCCTCTCCTTCCCAGCTGCATCTAGCAAGGAGCCTGCGGAGGCTGATCTGGCTTTCCTGTGGACAAGCCAGATATACTCAACCTGCAAAGAAAGTCTGCGCCTCCCCTTCTAAGACACTGAAAGAACAATTTAAAGCAAAGGTTGAGCCACCAAGAAAAGGCTTCAATCAATAGATCCAACGGAATACAGAGCCGGAAGGGACCTGGGAGGTCATCTAGTCCAACCCCCAGCTCAAGCAGACGACCATTTATTTATTTATTTATTTATTTATTTATTTATTTATGAATGAATGAATGAATGATTCGATTTATATGCTGCCCTTTTCCGGAGACTCAGGGCGGCTTACAATGCGTTAAGCAACAGCCTTCATACTTTTGTATATACCTGCTTAGTAGGGCTTTCGCCCCCCCCCCCCCCCCCCCCAGCGGTGTTCTATTTTATACAAAGTCAGCTTATTGCCCCCACAATCCGGGTCCTCATTTTACCTACCTCGGAAGGATGGAAGGCTGAGTCAACCTTGAGCCTGGTGAGATTCGAACTCGCAGTAATTGCAGGCAGCTGGTGTTACTTCACAGTGCTTTAGTCTGCTGCGCCACCAAGGCTCTACCCTTTCAGACGGGTGGCTGCCCAGTCTTTTCTTGAAAAAAACCTTCCGCGATGGAGAGCCCCTGGGGCAGGCTACTTCTGCTGTAATGGTGTACGTAGGGTCTCCTGCTTGGGCAGGGGGGTTGGACTAGATGACCTACAAGGTCCCTTCCCACCCTGTTAATCTGCTGACTGCCAGCAGTTTGGCAGTCCGAGTCTCCCCAGGTTCAAGGTCGACTCAGCCTTCCGTCCTTCCGAGGTGGGTAAAATGAGGACCCTGCTTGTTGGGGGGCAAGAGGCTGACTCTGTAAACCGCTTAGAGAGGGCTGTAAAAGCACTGAGAAGCGGTATATAAGTCTAAATATTCTCCGGGTCCGCTTCAAGGTGCTAGTCCTCACCTATAAGGCCCTTCATGACTTAGGTCCGGGATATTTGCAGGACCTTCTCCTGCCTGCCTCTCACCGTCCTGTTCGCTCACATAGAGCCGCTCTCCTCAGGGTTCCGACGGCGAGCCAATGTCGTCTTGCTGTGCCCCAGGGGTAGGGCGTTCTCTGTGGGTGCTCCCACCCTCTGGAATGGATTACCTACCGAGCTCCGGACGGCTCCTGATCTCCGTTCCTTCCGTCGCGACCTGAAGACTTGGCTGTTCAAACAAATAGGCTGACTCTGATTCCGGGTTTTATTATTTACTATTAATTAGTTATTTGGTTTAAAATGGGATTTTATTGTATTTGTTTCTTAATATTTTTTTTTTAATTTGATTTATATGCCGCCCTTCTCCGAAGACTCAGGGCGGCTTACAATGTGCTCAGCAATAGCCTTCATCCTTTTGTATATTTATACAAAGTATAATAACCAGCTTAATAACAGGGTGCCTTAGACCCCTGTACTACCAAGGCTCTTGTGTTCGCCGCCCTGAGTCCTTCGGGAGAATGGCGGCATATAAATAAATACATGTAATATATAAATAAAGAGCCTTGGTAGTACAGTGGTTTAAAGCACCCTGTTATTAACACAGCTGCCTGCAATTACTGCAGGTTCGAATCTCCCCAGGCTCAAGGTTGACTCAGCCTTCCATCCTTTCTAAGGTAGGTGAAATGAGGACCCAGTTTGTGGGGGCAATAAGCTGACTTTGTATAAATATACAAAAGGATGAAGGCTATTGCTTAGCGCACTGTAAGCCGCCCTGAGTCTCCGGAGAAGGGCGGCATATAAATCAAATTATTGATTTATTGCTTAGCGCACTGTAAGCCGCCCTGAGTCTCCGGAGAAGGGCGGCATATAAATCAAATTATTGATTTATTGCTTAACGCATTGTAAGCCGCCCTGAGTCTCCGGAGAAGGGCGGCATATAAATCAAATTAAAAATAATTAAAAAAAAAAAATTAAAAAAAATAAAAATAAATAATAAACGCTCTGGCAATTATTGCCTACGTTACAACTTCGGAAAGGCCTCCGAAAGATGCGCTTCTTGCCAACTTTCCCACGATCGGGGTCCCGAGCCATCCTCTCCATAAAGCTCCCCCCACAAGCAGGGCCATAAACCCAAATGCAAACCAAGGCGACGCCTTGCCTCACCTTTGGCTCCTCGGTCCTCTTTTAAGGCTGTCAATCTCACGGCCGGCGGGGAAGGCGCTTTAAAAGCTCCCAGGATCGCGGCACCCGCGGGGATCTCCGTGGGAAAGAGACAGAGGGGCTGAACCGGCCAGTTGTGGGGGGGGGGGCTCTCTCTGCCTTCCCACCCCCCCCTACCCCTTTTTTGGGGACACCCCCACTCCACCCCACCTCCCTTCCAGCCTTCTCGGGAAAGGAAGCTTTTTGGACACGCGGGTTCGCGATTCCCCACGATCCCAATCTGGGCAACTCGCTCCCGGCTCTTCTGTTAGGTAACAAATCCCCGCCCTCGCCTCCTTCGGGGGGGGGGGGGGAGGAAGGTCTCGGAATGCGGGGCGAGAGAGCTCTTCTTCCTAGAGAGGCCACACTCCGGCAGCCTCCCACCCCTCCGGCTTTCCCCCCCCCCATTTTTTTTTTTTTTTAAAGGGCGGCCGTCTCCTTCTCCTCCCTCCCCCCCCCCATTTTCCGCCTCTTTCCTGCAATAGCCAATTCCTCGCGAAGCTCTCTGGCGCATGCGCCGTCCCTCTCCCGAAGGCAAGAGCTACGGATGCGTTGCAGAGCCATTGGGTGGATTGGCGCTGTGGTTTCCAGGGGGGGTTGGAAGGAGAGGAGGAGCCCAATCGGCTTTGAGAAGGGGAATCGGCGCGGCTGGTTCAATGTTCATAACAAGAGTTGGAAGGGACCTTGGAGGTCATCTAGTCCAACCCCCCCCCCCCCCGCTCAGGCACTTCTGTACCACTTCTGACAATAACTAGTTGAGGCTTTCTCTACTTTACTTTATTCAAATTTCTATACCGCCCTTCTCCTTTCGGACTCAGGGCGGTGAACAGCCAAGATAAAAACATCTATACAAAACATCACAGTTAAAAAATAAAGTTAACATAATTTATAAATTTGGCCCATAATTTAAAACTTGTCAATTAAAATCAATATTAAAAATTTAAAACTAACCCTAAAATCAAGACAGACCGGCTAACTGGAAAAAATGAGTTTTTAGGGCCCGACGAAAAATCCGGAGGTCGGAGATCACTCGTATCTCTGGGGGTAGATTGTTCCATAGGGTGGGTGCCACCACAGAGAAGGCTCTCCTCCTGGGGGTCGTCCGCCGGCATTGTCTGGCCGACGGCACCCTGAGGAGGCCCTCTCTGTGGGCCTCATTTCCCTTCTGGGAGAAGAAAGATGCAGAAGAGGCGTTCAAACGTTTTAGCTTCTCATCACCCACCACTGATTCACAACTTTCTCTTCACAACGCCCCCTCCCCCGAAAATAGTAACCAAATAACAAGAGTTGGAAGGGACCTTGGAGGTCATCTAGTCCAACCCCCCTACTCAAGCAAGGAGACCCTATACCGGGGGATCCCCAAACTTGGCAACTTTAAGACTTGTGGACTTCAATTCCCAGAATCCTGGGAGAATTCTGGCTGAGGAATTCTGGGAGTTGAAGTCCACAAGCCTTAAAGTTGCCAAGTTTGGAGACCCCTGCCCTATACCATTTCTGACATGTGGCTGTCCAGACTAAGGTGACCAGATTTTAACATTGGTAAAGCGGGACACCTACCATTTTGTGGGCGTGGCTTGGAGGTCATGTGACTTGGTGGGCATGGCTAGCTGGTCATGTGACTGGGTGGCCATGGCTATGTGTATAGAAAAAAGTCATTTCTGACAGGTCCTCGCACTTTTGACTGGTCCTCACACTTATGACCATCCTTACATTTATGCCTGTGCAGCATTCTTAACAACCATGTCACTCATTTCACAACTGCTTCTCTTCACCATGGTGACAAGATAGGGCAAAAAACGTAAAATGTGAGAACAGTCGTAAGTTTGAGGACTGGTCAAAAGTGCGAGGACCAGTCAAAAATAACTTTTTCAGCCCTCTGAGTAGTCCATATGCACAAAAGGACTACCCAGAGGGCTGAAAAAAGTGATTTCTGACAGGTCCTTGCACTTTTGACTGGTCCTCATACTTATGACCATCCTCACATTTATGCCCGTGCAGCATTCTTAACAACCGTGTCACTCATTTCACAACTGCTTCTCTTCACCATGATGACAAGATAGGGCAAAAATGTAAAATGTGAGGACAGTCGTAAGTTCGAGGACTGGTCAAAAGTATGAGGCCAAAAGCGGGACTTCTGGTCACCTTAGTCCAGGCTCTTTGAAAGCCTCCAGTGATGAAGCACCCATAACTTTTGAAGGCAAGCCATTCCATGGGTTGATGGTTCTGTCAAAAAAAATATCTTTATTTATAGGTTGAATCTTTCCTTGTTCAGTTGCTATCCATTGAGCTTTGGAAAACAGGTAGTCTCCCTCCTCTCTGTGACAGCTTCTCAAATATTGGAAGACTGCAACCGTTCTTCATATGTTTTAGCCTCCAGGCCCCTAATCATCTTTGTTGCTCTTCTCTGCACTTTCTTTATCATAAAAGTTTAGAGATAAGTAGTAGCAGCTTTCTGCACTCTTAATTGCTTTATTTATCATAAAGTTTATTTACTTATTTATTTATTGGTTCGATTTATATGCCGCCCTTCTCCGGAGACTCAGGATGGCTTACAATGTGTTAAGCAATAGCCTTCATACTTTTGTATATACCTGCTTAGTAGGGCTTTTGCCCCCCCCCCCAAAAGAGCACTTGCAACCTCATCAGGCTGTTCCACAACCTAATAGTTCAGTTAGGACTAAGAAACTAAGACGTTTCCTGGAAGAACAATTATAAATAGTGGAATGACTTGGCTCCAGATGTGGTGGTTGTTCCAAGTTTTGGAAGAAGAGCTTGGACAACCACTTGTCTGAAATGGTATACAGTCTCCTGCTTGACCAGGAGTTGCACTAGAAGACCTCCAAGGTTCCTTCCAGCTCTATTCTATTCTGGATTCTACTCCCATAGAAGAACTAAATCCTTTCCCCCAAATAAGAAACCTCTTCTTTTGTTCCCTGGGTAAGGAAGGTCCTGATTCTGTCAAGAAATACTGTTGCCTTGTCCTGGGATGCAGCCTCCATCTTGTAAATGCTGACGACATCAGATTTCTGGTGCCTCAAGTTCCCAAAAAATTGATGAGCGGAGAAACCCTCAAAGCCACACCAAGCAATGTCAAAACAACTGGTAGCAATCACCAACCTGTGGTAGT